CTTTCCATCCCGGTGCTCTGTGTAACAATCACTCTCGGATACTTGTCCTAGCCACTTCCGGCGTTGCGGTGGTGGTCTTAGCATCCTCTGTACTACCTTCCGTAGCTGTTGCTGCAGTGGAGGCACTGCTAAAAGTCATGTGTACATCGCCCACACACTCGCCTTCATCGTTGATGCTGGTCTCCCGCAAATTCGCATCACCGCATCCGCTTGCAGTCAGTTAGCTCTGGGGTTGTGTTGCGTGTGGGTTACTCTTCTTCCTGTGGTCGCGAATTAGTAGAACGATGGTAACAAGAGCGATGCCCGAGGCCGCAGTTGCAGCTAATGGTATTACAATCGCGGGCACCTGACTGGTCTCCTTCACGTCCTCATTAGATGCTGTATGCAGGGGAAATATTCAGAGTAAACAAACTAATTAGCGCGACTGTAGGCACTTCCAGGCACTTTAGTCGACTGATTGAAACATGTACCTGCTCTTGAGAAAAGGAAACAGATGTCATTTTACAAATGAGTTAATGCCATTTTACAAATACTTTAATAATAGCTATGAAAAGTATGAAAGCCGCAGACATCACAATGCAACAAGCCAATTTGTTCAAGGTTTAAAATTGTATGATTCCAGAATCGATTTTCAACCATTTTATATTTCTACTCCCAACCTTATTTGAGGTACAATTCAAACCAAAGCTTCCATGCAGCCCATGATATGCAACAACACCCAAAATGATTTTCTATAGGACGACCTCACTTACAATAGCAAGATTCGAAATGTGACCAAGTCGAGTTTCTCGTACAGAAGATGGCTGCCTTTCGCCTCTGTGGATCATCGGTCTTGAACTCGTAGCCATCCTTGCAGCTGTACTTTACCCTATCATGGAAGAAGAATGCTTGCTTCAAATCGGTGTGTGCTAGATATAGAGTTGAGGCGAAATCGGGAGCAGGGCAAGCCTTTCCTGGAGGGATTGCTGTAGTCCATTGGGCATACGACATACATGAAATAGTAATAAGATTCTTTTCTTACAGATTGATCTATGACTTAACTACAGAAGATTAGCCTGGAGGAAGGAAAAGCAAAGTGACAGACATTGACAAAAGCCCTTGTTGAGAGCCGTCTCCTTCAGTGACTCCGAGCTTATTGTCCTTCACTTATAGTGGGAGTCAAAACTGGCTAAATGTAAAAAGGACTACTCTGAATAAGCCTGCTATTGACAACAATGGACTCTCTGTCAGTCTTAAGTTCAGAAATTTTAACAGCCCTCAGAACGTCTGAAGAAATTTATGAGTGTTGTTGAACCTAAAAATAGGGGTGAAACGAACGAACGAAAGTTCGAATATTCGTTCGAAAAATTTGAAAACGAACGAACGAACTCGCAAGATTGATAATCGAACACAGCAAGTAAGCATAAAGATCGCTTGTGACTAGATCACGAAGGAGCCGCAGAGGTTGGGAGATCGGGCTGATCCACTGCGTCTGCCTTGATGATCACATGAAGCAATTTGAAGGAGTTGTCGCGTCAGAACAAAGTTTCCTGAAATATTTCTGTGTGTCCGTTTGAGGTAGATTTGTACTCGTAGTGAAAGGAGTCGAGTCGCTTGTGACATCTGTTCCTGAAAGCAAACGTTCACTCGTTGCAATCATGTCAACACTTTCGAGCCTTTCATCGCGGTCCGGAGTTGGAGCGGAATTTGATGAAGTGGTCGGGAAAGACGAAGTCCTTTTCTCAGTTTCAAAAAGGTTCTATCACGCAACAGAGCGACGACGAGCAATCTTCGTACCCACCTCAAGAAGTACCATTCTCCTGCTCTGCCGACCTGAGCTAGCGATGAGAAGAAAACTCTCGTCAGGACGATGGTGATGGACTTTGCAGCTAAGCTAGCTGCAAAACATTGTGATTCAGCGCAGGCTGGCGCAATAAAAAATATTTCTGTGCTCGCAGTGTATCATGCAGTCAATGAGCATTCTCACTTTCTCAGTGATTCTGGCCTCTGGTTCTAGAGCTAGCTTACATGTAGATCTACATGCATGATCACAGTGTTTGTTTAGCATCACACCGGCAATACTGAACTGTGGACAGCCAAGTACAGAGAACGCCTGTACTGACAGTCTGTATGGTCTTCAAAAAAATACATCTATGAAATACATAATGGAGAACGTTCGTTCGAGTTCGTTCGTTAGTGTGAGAGTTCGTTCGTATTCAAAATTCGATGTTCGTTTCACCCCTGCCTAAAAGTCGTAGAGGTCTCGTATTGACCCGTTTAATCTGTGGATCTTATCAGCAGAGCTTAGAGTGACTCGCGACCCGATCCGAAAGCAAAAAAACACAAAAATAATACCAAGTCTTAACAAGTATTTTCGAATCATATTTCGAACACGCTCATTACAAATGACGGGTAAGATGTATTAAAATATACATGTACACGTATACAAGCACGTAGAGAACGTCTTCTTACGTTGGCAGGGTTGCATCTGCTGCCAGGTGGCATTATATCGGCACTTCATGATTGCACTGCGCTTTGTGGTGCTCTCGAAGTAGTACCCGTGTTTACAGCGATATTTCACTTCAGTATTGTGCGGCACAGGACCCGGCTTGGACAAGATTTCAGTCGTTGTCACGTTATACCTCGGTGCTGGGCATTTATATCCTGCAAGGACAAACGTGCACATACCAACTTTCCTGTGAGTATTCATGTACGAACTATTGTGGCTGGGTAGTTTCATACCTTTAACATTTGTCAGGATTCCTTCAAAGCAGCGCCTGAATAGCGCATTTTGTGCAGGGGGCACTATACCTAGAAATTGGATGAAATATTGCTGGTTTCACAATCATTACAAGTAGAAATGGTGCTAAGGGTAGAGCAAGATCATCCTGAAGAAGTGACTGCAGTATGAACAATCAATGTCCTGTCGTGGACATGGAAATACAGTCGATTGACCGGGGCCGGCGCCCTCGGCGCGTACAGAATGCTGCATGCAGTGCACATATACATGTAATTGTTGTTGTTTTTTATTTGAATTCGCAATACCAAACGGGCAATAAGCCCAATTACATGGAAGTGAATAAAAGAATGCTAAGAATGACGCATTGGGTGGATATTATTTCAAGTGGAAATACTGATCCCGGGAGGTACTACAAATAGGTACATTGTTGATCCCGTTGCGACCAGTGCGACCAGTGCACCGCACGAATACATTGTGTGTAGATCTACAGCTTATCCACGGTTGCATGGCCAGCGCCCAGGGGCCGCTAGACGTGCAACCGGATTTCCATGTCCACAACATTATAAGCCATTAGGGGCAAGGCTACTTTTGACCAAAGTGCATTTATGAGACTATGTGACGTCCAAATTGTCTATAGATTCCAAGGACGTCAAAACGCCATTGAGGCAACTAGATATGCGCCCAATGGAAAGCACATGAACTAAAATTGATTTTGCACGGCTTACCATAGCATGGCAGCAAAGGTGACCAGGTAGAGTTTGTCGTGCAGGACCTGACGGCATTCCGCTTCTGCAGAGCTTCAGATCCGAAATTGTAGCCAACTGCACAGCTATACTTCACCTTTTCTCCGGGAAAGAATGTTTCATTCAACGCCGTGTGCACCTGATAGAATATTGTGTCGAATTCTGGCGTGGAGCAAACCATATCCGGAGTGAATTCTGTATCGCATGCACGCCACACATAATGAGACTAACTACTATTACTTTGGTGTGTTTGTCGTGTATGCACAGATAGAATCTGAATTACCCACGATATAATTCAAGCAGCTTGGAAGGTCCATACAATGTCGAAAAGGACTGAACACGACACAGAGCACTAACATGATTAATTAATCGGCGGCGGGACATGCCTTCCCTGGAAGGGCATATGTACGTTATGCAGTCTGGATACGTGTACACCAGGGTATAAGCAATCGTGCTATCTCTACAGACAGAGCATCCAGTATAGTCAAGAGTTGTTAAAAGGCACATACAGTAGCCATACGTGTATTTGTCCGTGCGAGTAAGGTGCGTGCATTAATTTAACATGTACCGACATGTACACACATGAGCGTAGAAAACATCTCCCTCACGTTTGCAGGGTTGGATCCGTTGCCACGTCGCGTTACGCTGGCACCTTACGATTGCGATGCGCTTCGTATCGCCCTCCTCGAAGTAATATCCACGCTTGCAGCGATATTCCACCTCAGCCTTGTAGGGCATCATCGAGCTCATGCTAACGTCAGTTACGGTTTTAGTCGTTGTTCTGTCAAACGTCGGCGTTGGGCAAAGATTCCCTACAGAGAAAAAGATATCAAAACAATCATGACACACATAACAATCATACCATAGCAGCCTGAGCGGAGGACGTTCAGGTTGGTTGTAACTCTGAGTTTCATGCCGTTAGGCAATCATCAGACAACTGATACTCGGGTCTACCCAACAGTGAGTCAGTATGCTTATAAACACATACATGTAGGGCCACAAGCATAAACAAATTTAGCGCTAAATCTGGTGTGAGGTATGGCGAGAAAGCTGGCGCGGGCCAAGGCGCGACTGTAGAAGTGCTACGAGGGTGGCGGGCAACAGGCAGGTGGTTGGTTGGTTGGTTTTTATTTCACTTCGCACATTCAAACGGGATGATGACCCAATAAAATGACGGCGAAGGCTTAGCGTAGAAGTGGCTATGGAAGAACATAGTAAAAGCTATGGAAGCACATAGTAAGAGAATAGGATACTAATAACTGCGAGTAAACGGGGGGAGAGAGAGAATACGATGTATCTGTGATACTGCGTGAGGATTACTGAACTGCACGGGGAGGGAGAGCAGAGCGATCAGCAGCAACTTGAACTACTCCCTACAGGCGTATGGTACACATGCATGCTTAAACTCAGGTAGCTGGGTAATTGTGCGGACCTCACCAGGGAGAGCGTTCCACAGCAGAGCACCAGCAACAGAAAATCTCCGCTGACCGCGGCGGCTACGGTTTGCCTGGCTTAGTAGGCCATTTGACTGCTGATGGCGGGTAGAGGTGCCTTGTGTCGGGGTCAGGAGCTGGCACCCTTACCCGCCATCAGCAGTCAAATGGCCTACTAAGCCAGGCAAACCGTAGCCGCCGCGGTCAGCGGAGATTTTCTGTTGCTGGTGCTCTGCTGTGGAACGCTCTCCCTGGTGAGGTCCGCACACCTACCCGGCTATCTGAGTTTAAGCAAGGTGTGAGCATGAAAGCGCGGAAAGAGTCCTGCCCGCTGCGTGGAGAGTGCCAGACGAAGGAGATAGTGTATGAGGCCACTGCAGAATCTACCAGCAAGATTTACATCGGTCTATCAGAGACACCTTTCAAAGCCCGTAACGCCAACCACCTGACCTCCATGCGCCATGAAAAATACAAAAACAGCACCCAGCTTGCAAAACACTTATTGGAGCTGAAGAGCGAGGGAAAGCCGTTGACCATTACATGGAAGGTGCGGGAGAGGAGCCGATCATATAGATGTGAGTAAAAAAAAGCAATCTATGTACCGCGGAAAAATTCCACATCCTGACTACACCCAAGAAGCTCCTGCTCAACAAGCGGTCTGAGATGATCTCGAAATGCAGGCATGAGAATAAGTTCCGCCTCGCAAATTTCACACCTATCAAATGAACTGACCAAGTACTGTACTGCACTTTGCCTGAGCACCCCAATATCAATTTTTCACTGGCCCATTGCCCGCCATCCTCCTGGCACCTCCACCCATCTACTGTACACTGCCTCCCCATCGCCTCTTTTCGCGCGTTCATGCTCACACCTGCCTGTTGCCCACCACCCTCCTAGCACTTCTACTGTGGCGCCTAGGCCTGCGCCAGCTTTCTCGCCATACCTCACACCAGATATAGCGCTAACTTTGTTTATGCTTGTGGCCCTACATGTATGTGTTTATAAGCATACTGTTGGGTAGACCCGAGCATCAGCTGTCTGATGATTGCATAACGGCATGAAACTCAGAGTTACAACCAACCTGAACGTCCTCCGCTGAGCCTGCTGTATGTACTAAGCTCTGTCTCTGACATTGAGCACTCTCTGCAGCTCGGGGATCAAAGGATTTAACAATCATAACATATATAAATACAATCATAACCTTGAGGAAGAAAGGAAAAGGACAAAATGTTACGAGTTATGACAAACTGTCCACCAACGTAACCAGATCTTATACAGTCAGCGAGTACGACAAAATGGCACAAAACTGACAAGGAGTACTGAGTTCAAATCATAACATTGACAGAAATATCGACATTTAGTTTTAGTTTTATTCAAGGCAATACATGCGTGGGATAGCCAATGCCCACGTTGGGTGGTGATTACAGAGTTTGTATAGGCAACCACGGCTTGAAAAATTGAAATTCCGCTCCAAAGGCAACTACTTTAGTATATCCAGCACATGCATACTTCAGAAGATTACGAGTTGGAGGGAGTAAGGTACCGGTGATGATCCTTCCCCCTTCGCGACGTGGAAAGAAGAGTGGGGTGCGGTGGAAAACGAGTGCAGACGCGAAACAAGTAGACAAACAGTAGGGATGAAAAAGGAAATGGAAGCAACGCGAAGTTCAAACGTGAGGTACACTTTCACCATAATTATAACTATGGTGCACCCAGTGCCTGCGCACTGCAACAACGAAGAGGGATACAAATATAAATACTTCGAAGTACGTGGTAGATCGCAGGCTATAATAACAAGTACAACAATGCTATCCTAGTTGCAGCATAGTTTGACTTGATTTTGATTTCCCCTTATTCTCATGATGGCCTCGGCCGCTAAGGGAACTGGAAATAATTTTGCATGAGCAATCTTGTCGCAGATCGCAGGATGTATGATAGAAGATACTAATTATAATATTATGCTCACAGGTAGATTATGGATACCCGGAACTGCTGTGTCTTGGGCATATAATATCACGTTTCAACTTATTCACTTAAAGCAAACTATTGAAGGCTGTTGCCATCTACTTCGCGCTGGGATTCATCTCCGACGTTTTCACACTGATACTTTCACACCTAGCCTCAGTTTACCACATCTAGTCCTCAGTTATACGGACCGTAATATTATTAATAGAAAAGAAGAAGGACCAAAGAACTGCAAGTTACGCTAAGATGTCCACCAACACCACCAGTTAATAAACAATCAGCTCATGCGATAACATTGCACGACACTGACAGACGGTACTGACGTTCTACAACTAACTGACTAACAGCTCTAGCACATCTTGGATGCGCACTCCAACAGCCTTCCAACCTGGAAGGTTCTAAGTTATAGAAATAGCATAAGAAGGGGAAGGTGAGCGCAAGCAATCACGAGCTGATCCGTGTCTATACATTCATCCTTGGCTCTTCATCCGACTCTAACATATTATCATGTTATCAATTTATCATCTTTGCTTTGCACCTCTATCTTGCAACTCCATTCTGGATTTCCTAGCATCAACTCGGGTAGTCCAATTTTCCATATAAATCACTGATGTACTGCCGGCACCCTTCGGTTGTTTTCGTGCACACGAATATCTTTGGGGAGTTCTGTATTGCTCCCCACGTGGTAGCTCCCGCTTTCCCTGCCGACTTGAATTCTCACGTGACTGACTCACGACTGCGTGTGCGAGACAACTTTGATGCATGCGTATAGTGCACACTGGATTAAAAACCAATTTCTAGTTGAAATGTGTTACACCTACCTGCGACTTCCAGTCCTGCAAAAATAATGAGCACCAATGCGATGGCCTGTGGCATTATAATCCTCAGAGAAGGCATTGTAGGTTCGACTTCGCATGCGCTAACTTCAAGGCATCATAGTGATGTTCGAGACGCTCTTACCAGGTGAAGGTTTACCCAATTTCCTGAACACAATGCCGAGAAAGTTCTTTATTGGTCGGTTAATGGTGCATCATGACATGGACCATTCGCACGCCAGTCCATTCTGTTCCAGTCCAAATTCAAGCCAAGACCGCGGCCATAATAGCACTCGTAACTGAGAACGCTCGAGCAGTAGGTAGCTACTGATTCCATTTACCTCTGCTCTCGGTCAGTGTTTTCGTCCATGTACATGTAAGCAGAGCGGAGAGCGCGTACATAATCATAATCATTATTATGTACGTGCCCACTACAGTGTAGTTGGCCTTGGCTGCACGGCTAGCCTCCGGATCAACTGGTGCGATCCACTATGAAGTCGTAACTTGAAAACATCACACGTTCAGCTAGCGATGATTAATCCGGCATCAAACTTATTCAACCACAAACATACGGCAATCGGACGTGTTGCCCTCAAGCGATTTACAACAGGTTCACTCTGTTTGAGATTCGCTTCCCGGTGGTAAGTTTTAAGATGATCACGATAGATGGTTCTATTGAACCATCCACAAATTCACTTGACCATTGGTTTGTGGGTACAAATGCAGTGCTTTCGTGAGTATAGTGATAAAAGTGAGTTGCGTGCAGACATTTTTTATGCAACTCCCTTCATTTTCACAAATCACTTCGCAACTTTCCAGCAACCGTGAGCAGAGAAGCGGCATGGACCAGACTATTGTATTTGTATTTTGTATTAAAGGATTCTAGGCATTGGCGGATAATGCTCGAAAAGGTGGCAGATTCTGCTCGAAAAGCAGTGAAATTGGCAGAACCATAAAACCTTATGGCGGGCATTTCCTCGAATTCTGCTCCATTTCTTTATCCACATACCAAACATGCATGAAACGTACCAGAAAAAGTACCGAATTCTGCCAATTTTTCTGCCGGCATTATCTGCATATGCCTAATGGATTCTCCACAGGCCGCTAAAGTGTCCGTGATGCTCCGCTTCAACAAGAAACATTGAAACATTGCATCAAATCAACATGACAAGACAAAATGTACTTCTTGAAGAACATGACACATACATGTGTGTTGTGTTGTGTTTTGTTTAATTCGCAAACCAAACGGGCAGATCTGCGCAATGAAAAGGTGGCGAATGCAAATAGAAAGCAGTAATAAATGAAATTGGGGACTGATGTAATTACGATAGAGGTGGAGAAAAACTAAGCCAGCTGATCATCAAACAGGACGTTTGGTACTCTAGGTACTAAGGGTGTGCATGATCATGCTGGCACGGAACTGGCGGAGCGTGGAGATGGCACGTATATCGCTGGGTAAGGTGTTCCGCAGCTGGGCGCCCCAAAACGCGAGGCAACCCTTGCCGAACCTGGTGCAAACTGGCGGTTGGCGCAGACCCATGGTGGAGGGACATGTATATGTATATGTATGTTGCAGCACTGAGCAATGCTGCTATAAATAGCGATGAAGCGGCTGTCATGTACATGTACATGGCATGTATCACTATAAAATAAGCAACGTGAAGAAAGTAAAAAAAATAGGGCCTTTGATATTATTGCTACATGTATGCCTGGAGCGATCACCGCTTGGTGATTGCTACCTTTGACCTACCAAAATTCTACGTCCTAACGTCACCGAGAAAGCATACCCCGCAAGACAGTCGGAAGAAAATGGATGTGCAGCAGTTGACAGCCAGCGCAGGGAGAAGACAGCGCTATCGGGACCAAGTTGAAAAGCATGTTACAACACTACCTCCCCTGGAGAAGGAACACCTTGATGAAGGCTGGACTTCAGTTGCAGGAATGATGCATGCCTCGGGATTGGCAGCTGCGGGAGAACTGAAGCTGACACGGCGTTATAGACACGGTTGGGATACGGTGATGGAAGAACTCTCGGAAAAGATGAAAAATCTGCGACTCCGCACGATGAACGCTCAGGACACCCACCAGATACAGAAACTCCGTGAGGAGAGAAACCGAGTCTCGCACCAACTGCGACGTAGAGCCAAGGAATGTGCATCTGCAGACCTAGACAGAAAAGTATCAGAGATCGAACAGCTGAAGGATAATGCCCGAATGTTCAGAGCTGTACAACAGCTACACAAGAACAGAACCAAGCAGGCCGTTGTGGCTGACCAAGATGGCAGGCTAATAGTCCAACCTGAGGAAATGGCTGAAAAGATAGCAGAGCACTTCCACGCTGCTCTCTCAAATAGCGACCAAGAGAGACTGAGCATGGCTGACTATAACATGGGCGAAATGGAAAAGCCAATCGCGACGATCGAAGTGAGGAGAGCAGCAGCACGGCTAAAGAACAACAAGTCACCTGGGCCAGACAAACTCCCAGCAGAACTATTCAAATATGCGCCTGACAGCCTTTTCACATATCTTGCCGAACTGTACACCATGTGCGTTGAGACAGGACAACACCTGACACTTGGCAGTGGAGAGTTAATCCCGCTGCAGAAGCCAGGAAAACCAAGAGGCCCGGGAAGTAGTCTGAGACCCATTGTTCTGCTCAATGCCCTGCGCAAGGTACTTTCTTTAGTGGTTCTAGCACGAATAACCCCCCGAGTTCAAGCTTATGTATCGCAAATGCAGAGTGGGTTCAGACCGAATAGAAGCACTACAGATGTAGTATGGGCTCATCGATGGATCGCTGCACGCTGCCAGCACCTGCAGTCCAGTATAAGTATTCTGGGTATCGATATGTCTCGCGCCTTTGACACTATTAGTCGCCGGAAACTCGTCAATGTGTTGCGGTCATTCCTGGAGCCAGATGAGGTGCGCCTGGTCCAGCTCCTGGTTTCAGATACAACACTATCAGCACGCATCAAAAATACCCAAAGCCGACCATTTGCAACAACATCTGGCACCCCACAAGGTGACTCGCTGTCACCCGTGTTATTCATCATCTACCTCGAGACTGCACTGCGCCATGTTTTCTCCTGTATTCCACCTCGACCTAATCTAGACATCACCCTCAACCTGCCGCCGTCCCTAGGTTATGCCGATGATGTGGACTTCGTCAGCACCAGTTCTGAGTACCTGGACTCGATCCTTCCTATTGTTGGCGACTGCCTCGCGGACTGGGACCTGAAAGTTAACCAAGCCAAAACAGAACGCACTACTATCCAGAGGAAGAAGGACGGAGTGGAGGAAGAGTGAAGGCGCACACGCAAGCTTGGATCCCTTATTGGAGACAAAGAGGATGTCGCACGCCGAATCCAGATTGCTTCGGGCACATTCAACAAGATGTGGCCATTGTGGTCACGCGGACATCTGGTCTCCGAAAAGCTACGGGTGAGGCTCTACGAAGCCTTCATCAAGCTTCTGCTGATGTACAACGCAGGCACATGGGGCCTCTCAGACTCTCAGCTGTGTACTCTTGACTCGACATATCGGAGACACCTGAGAGTTGTTGTGGGTATCCGCTACCCACAGATAATCAGCAACAATGACCTCCACCGCAGAACAGAGACACAGCCCCTAACTGTCCTGGTTAAAGCTGCTCGGATGCGACTACTCGGTCACATCTGCAGACTGGACAAGGAGTCCCCAGCACAAATGGCCATGACATCATACTTCCGGCAAACAAAGGACGAGAAAATATTCCGTGGCTGGCCGCCTTCCACACTCCCAACAATACTGAGAACGGACCTCGCAACAAAGGGAATGAAGCTGAAGACGGATAAAGATCTCTCACACATCAGGGACCTGGCAGAGGACAGAGCAGTATGGCGGCAGCTTTTCCGCACCTGAGCCTGCAGAGGAATGCCCGGATTTGGCCAAACGGAACATGACATGATGTATGGTGAATTCAATGGACAATCTGATACATTTCTTCAATATCCTTTGCCTCCTGTTTCTTTTTCCCTGCCTTCGACCCCGCTGCTCTGTGACCCTTCCCTCGCTTTCTCTTGTCCTTACTATCTTTTGACTTGTTGAGCGGCCTGAGCGAATGCTAGGGGTGGATGTGTAGTATGTCGATTTGTTGATTTATGTAGTAACACACCCTGATGCAAACGCGGAGAGGCAAATCATCATCATAATCATCATGTATTTTAAAGTTATCACTATAGCCGATATTGTGTGTTATGCATGTTTTGATTCTTTGTTGCCATCATAATTATGTGGAATGCCCTCCCTTCTCACTTGAAAGGAAGTGAGGACATTAGATCATTTTCTACAGAACCTTTGCACGCTCTAAATGACGACAAATTAACTATATCTCTATATCCCCTCCTTTTTGAAAATGTATTTCACCAATAAAATAAGGCTTGGAATTTTTTTAAACATGAATATCGACGGCCTTGCCCCTTCTGTTCATGCATTGCCCTGCTCTAGTGATGGTTCATGAATCCGCCCAGTCCACATTCCTTCTCCATTTCTCTCTAGTAATGGTTCATGAATCCGCCCAGTCCACATTTCTTCTCCGTTTCTCTCCGTTTTTCTTTCCTTTCAGTTGCATTTTCCTCTCTGCTCTGTTTTATTTTCTCTTCTCGCTCGTCCCTCTTGATATGTATATAATAAATGTAGAGCCGAAGGATTTATTGCAATTACATACCAGTATAAAACCGAGGTCCCCCGAGGTTTTTACAACTGGTATGTAATTGCAATAAATCCTGAGGCTACTACATTTATTATACATATGTTGACCTTCACTTTCCCCAAAAAGGAGTATTTTATAAACAGTATTTATTGGCCTTTAATAGTGGTATTTTATAAACAGTATTTATTGGCTCAAAAGCCAATAAATACTGTTTATAAAATACCACTAGGCCAATAAATACTGTTTATAAAATACTCCTTTTTAGGGAAAAGTGTAGTGCTGCATGGAAAAGTACAGTGGTATTTGTTGAATCAAGCAAATTTATTTGAATTTGATACTGTTGATGGTGTAGTCACTAATAAGTGTGGGTATTTATCAAAGGTCAATATATTTGTACTTTGTACTGTTGAGGCAACGAACTGAAATAATAAAAACCAAACCAAACCAAACCAAAATAATTATCCGATATAATATCATTACATCCGATAATATTGGTTATTTGAAACTCGGATGTTGAGCCATAAATAAATGTAGAAAGGAAAAGGACATTACGGATACCACTGGATACGATCCAGAAGCACCACATTCTGGTCATGGACAGACAGCACTATTCACCTCCTTCGAGAAGCCCTTTCACGCACAAATCTCAACCACCATCCAAACCAACACGACCCACGCCCAGTTGACACATTCTGGCTCGACAAAGTCCTGAGCATCGCCCAAGAACACTGCCAAGTTACTCGCACTCACCCCCTTGGGACAGGGAGAACGTGCCATGATTGATGTAGATACTGTGCGTACCATGTTTGAGCCCAAAACGGTGCTTCAGAAGCCTAGCTTTTGTTCCTGGGTCAGTTCGAACGTGAACCAAATAATGGACCATGCCCAAACAAGAGACCGGGGGTCCAACCCTCTTCAAAAAACAAAAGACCGGGTCTAATAATCGAGGAAATACGGTAACACCTCACCTACCCAACCAGCAGTCTGGATTCCGTGAGAAAGACGGCACTGAGCAGCAGCTTGCCCGTCTCGTCCATACCCTCTCCACGGCGAGAGACAACGGGAAAAACGTCAATGCCTGCTTTTTTGATCTAAGCAAGGCCTTCGATCGTGTATGGCATGCAGGCCTTCTAGCAAAACTCTCCCACTATGGTGTCCAGGGCAACGCCCTGGAGTGGTTCCGACGGTACCTGTTGGGGCGTCGGCAGAGGGTCCAAGTGGATGGCGACCTATCGCCTTTCCTCGAGATCCCTGCCGGCGTCCCTCAGGGGTCTGTTCCTGGGCCGCTTCTCTTCCTCGTCTACACCATAGACCTTCCACACGCATGTGAGAATCCCGGCGCCACCTGTAGCCAATTTGCAGATGACACCGCTCTGATTTCCATAGCGAGAACTCTTCAAGACTGCACCCGAAACCTACAACAGAGTGTCACAGCAGCTGGAGACTGGCTTCAAAGATGGCACCTGCTGGTTAACACAAAGAAAACAGTCATCCTCCCGTTCTACCACAATAACCGCCCCCCTGAACAGCTACCCCAGATCACCCTCAGGAATAGTCCGCTTACCGTAGCGCAAAAACACAAACACCTCGGAATAATCTTTCAGCATGACCTCCGTTGGACGGAGCATGTTGAATACATAGTCAAAAAATCACTCAAGTCTTTCAATATTCTTTTTAGACTAAGGTCTACACTCACCACTCCCGAGTCACCAGTGATTCTTTATCTCACATCTATCAGACATACATACTACCTATATTCTCGTATGCGAGCAATGCTCTCACACCGTTGTCACACACTTCCCTTGACAGGCTAGAACGACTCCAGCGGAAAGCCGCCAGAATATGTGTCCACCTTCCCCTTTACACACACTTAGAATACTCCCACCTTTTGCATCGCATCAAATGGCCAACATTATTTTCACGCTTTTAAAAAGTTAAACATAATTATACTCTTCGCGCATTCTCTGCGAAACAATTATACCCCACCACATACATGTATGTGATATTCTTTGGTTTGTCGGGTTGAGCTCCCGGCAGCTCTCGCTCTTGCGAGAGACTTTTGTTCCTTGACAATGTTTCCAGACAGATGCGTTGCTACTAGATGAGTTGCTTGAATAAGCCGAAGGCAACAGTTACTGTATTTACGGAGCGCAGTAAGAATGACTCGCCCCTCAGAGCAGGAACGTTCAACGCTCGTTCCTTGAAAAGCAACATCAAGAAAATTACAATAATACAAGATTTCGAACAATACAGGCTTGACATCCTCGGACTGACGGAGACCTGGCTGAACGGAGCCGGTGTAGACACGTACGACAACGGACATGTTCTGTATCGTTCGCGTGGCTCGTCGTCCAGAGCTGGAGTTGGCCTTCTCATCAACAAGAAACTAATAAATAATGTGGAGTCGTACAAATTTATCTCCGAACGGATGATATCAGTTCGTCTCCGAAATGGACCTCGACGTGACAGCAACTCCCTCACGGTGGTCTGCTGCTACGCTCCGACGCTGCAACGCTCGACATCACATCCTCAGGAAACAGATGACTTCTACTCCGCACTACGAGGTATTGCCCGGGAGGTCAGTAGAAGAGATGATTTTATGATATTGGGAGACCTGAATGCAAAAGTAGGGAGCGCCCGACCTGCTTCAGGAGGTGCAGTGGGATGTTTCTCCAAGCACGTATCAAGCAACGCGAACGGTGAGAGACTGATTGAGCTGCGTGAGGAGCAAAATCTGATGTTGTGCAACACCATGTTCAAACATCGTATGCAGCATCGTTCGACATGGTTCTCGGATGGGCTCGTACACAGGGATGGCCAACCTGTTCGAAACATGATTGATTTTGTGATTATGCGAAGATCAAACACAGTGCGCGTTGTGAATGCCAGGTCATACGGTGGATTCACAACAAGATCCGATCACCATCCGGTTATTGCAGATTTTCGACTAACATTCTGGCGGTGTACAACATCTAAAGTAACCAACGACCGCTGTTTCATCAAGTACAACGAACCCACACAAGACTCTGCTGAAAGTTTCAAAAATGCCATAGCAAGCACGTTGCCAGACATAAACACCCCGCCTGAAGATATTTCCACGCTAGACCAAACCTGGGAGAGATTTGTGTCATCTCCCCATGCAGCAGCGGTAAAGGCATTTGGAAGAAAGAAACCACAGAAGAGGATTGCTAGAAGTACGAGCCCTGCTGTCATTGAGCTATCAACTCAACAAAAAGAAATTCACAGCCGGATACATATGGAAAAAGATCCGAACAAGCGGAAAGAACTAACACAAAGTAGAAACAAGATCCTTCACCGTATCCGAGCATTACTCAGAAACGAAGGTGACTTATATTGGCAGCACAAAGCGGAGGCAGTGGACGCATTACGACCGGATGCAAGATCGTACTTCAACGCCATCAAACAGCTAAAAGCACTTCGAAGTCCTGACAAACCTTCCCCAGTACGACTCGCAAATGATAGTGGTGAAAATGTCACAAATGTAAAGTGGAATTTGGAGGAATTCAGCAAGTATTTCGCATCAGTGTTTTACCGGAGCGACCAGCCAACGCTTTTCCCGGCACAGCCTAACAGTAAGGCGAAAGACGAACCATTCACCTGTGAAGAGATTAGGAAGGCCATCATGCACCAGAAAATCGGAGGCGCTGTTGGATGCGATGGGATCAGTGCGGCACTGCTACGTACGGCTTCGACTGTCATTACTCCATGGCTGACTACCCTATTCAACTCCATTAAGGAACTCCACTATTGCCCACCTGACCTTAGATTAGGGAGTTCCGTCACGTGACAAATCAGCTGAAAACAGCCTTCACTAGGGTCACGCACATTAGCATGGTAGCGGTGGCACCATGGACTTCGCCGCAGTTTTTGTCGAATTGCTTTGTCCTGCTTTCTTTTTCAAAGTTGAAAGTTGGTGCGTTTGATAGCTGAGGTCTTCCTGCTCGTTTTGGTGCCGCACTTGCTTGGGCAACTGTAGTTTGAGCTTTTTGTTGTGAGGAGTGTAGTTTTCAGTTGGATTTTTCATCCGTTTGGAGGGAGTACACGGCCAGGAAACAGCCACCATCGTGTTCAGCGACCTCGAATTATGTAGAATAGTGCTTTCTTCTCGAGCTGGGGGATCGCTCTTCATCGCGCTTTCAAGACTTTCACCTCCTGGTCGCCCAAAAGGAATGAATTTCTGGACCCAATA